GAAAATAAAGGAGCCAATCCCTGTCTACTTTCTCCATTTTATCTTTCCATAAGCATAAATGTCACCTAAATATATCCTTACAACAGAGAAGAAAGGCATAATTGTGCAATTAACAAAGGGGAAAGGGAAAGGGAGTTCTTTATGACATTTTTTCTTAATAATTCTAAATATCTGCTTATTTTGAAGCCACTATCATTTTCTTAAAGTTTTGCTGAATAGATGAGATAGGATTGTATTCCAAATTGATAATTATTGCAACGCTGTCACACTATATGATGTAAATTCTGAAACAGAAACGTTTTCAATGAAACTTTATCCAGTGACAATTTAAGCTACGGTATGAAGAGACTTCAAAGAAGAAATTTTTAGGAAAGTCAACAGTAAAAGCGTTCCTTGTTTTCCTCCAGCTCATTTTTAAAAGGCCAGCATCAGAACAAGTGGAGAGTGAGTAACGGTGACTAAAATGTTTATGAAGTAAGCAATCTGTAAACACCAGAAAAACAATACTCTTGAAGACAGAATAGTTAGTACAGCCCATCTGGCCCTTAATATCAGGAAAATTATAATGTAAATATCCCCTTATTCACTGTTTATTTCTGAACACAGGCACTCCTACCCTTTATACTTCTAAGTAACGTAGCCTCCTAAAGTAGTTGAATACCTAGGAAGCATTTTTATGACATTTTTAGCTTCCTTACGATGTTCTCTTATGCAGGATTCATTTCTAGTAATTACAAATATGTGATTACATGTAAAGCTGTTCAGAAGTGTCCAGGTAGACCACTGATCATAGAACTGCTATTCTATGCACTGTCACTGAATCACGTATGTAGTGTTATACTGTATGCTGTAGTAGAAAAACAGCACATGATCCTTGCCTTCAAGGAAATTACAGTTGGGTTGTGTTGACTATATCAATCCACAGACAACAGAAAACCATATAACACAGTGCACATTTATATGCTCATTGGTGTGATAGGAGTAGCCAATATTCAGTAGAAAGAGATTAATTGGAATAAAATAATAGAATGTGATTAAAGTTTGTTAAACCCTTCCTGTGAGATGTGATGCAATTAAGAAAGGTTTGCTTCATTGAGGAAGTGGGTTTTGAATTAGCCTTTAAAGAATGAGTAGATTGAAAATAAATGTGAAATTAGAAGAGATTTAACTGAATTAATTTATCTCACTTTTCCTGATTTTGTTTGTATGAAGACATACATACCTTATCCAATTGAGCTTTGTCAAATAATCAATCCATAAATACATAAAGTATATGTGATTAACAAAGCTTTCAATGCCAAAAGACAGCTTATTTTCTTAATCCAAAACTCACTTCATGTAATTATTCTTTTTGTAAACTATTACTTGGTTATATTAACACCTGAATAATCTTGACAAGAAGTTGCTTTAAGCAGTTAAAGATCCAGATGCTGATCAGCATGCATTAAGTGATTCAGCTTAATTGGTTCCATCTAGATAAATTACTTACCTCAGTTCCTATCACAATTTCTTCTCTGGTAGAGTAGAACAGAAACTCATATAGCTTGTAGTGTTGAAATAAGCTGAAACATAAAATAAATGTGCAACTCTGATAAATTTGAGGGAAAAAAGCAAATATGTAGGAGTGTTTATTAAAGGAAAGTTGTTCATATTTACCAAGCTACAAACATTAAACACTACTGTGGAGTTAATCACCACCTTTATTCTAAAATAAATTGTTCAAAAATGCTAAAAAATTAAAGGTTTACTTTTCTGAGACACTGACAACATAACATAGTACCTAAAATAATATTTGTAAATTAATCTGTGATGATTAGATAGGTTTGGGATGAAGGGGCAATTAGAGTATACCTTGACCTTTCTTGGTTTTACAACTAAATAATGCATTGCTCCAAAATAACACCAAACTACACATTATTTTTCTGGTATAAATGGCACTGAACTGTCTAATCTATTTCTATATCAATTACTTCTCACATTCTTAAACTGTTTCAAAATTAAATTAATCTCTGATAACACCTGAAAAATGATGCAACATGAACTCGAGTCCATTTTAAAAGATGTCTGATTTTCTTGTAGAAGATCTGCTCACACATCAAAGAGAGGAATTCATTTAAGAAAGATAATTTCTTTAATTCTTACCTTAAGACTAGGTGGTCAGTGTGCAAAAAATTATAAAGAGCCAAAAGATAGGAGTTCCTTAAAACAAATATTTCTAGGAAGTTTAAAGATCTCAACAATGTATTATTGAGAGTTAAGATTCTACTGAAGGGCTGATTTCTAATAACCTGTTTGTGATAATATTTGAATTTTTCTAATTCTTTTCCTGCTGGTTGGGAAAATTAATAGACTCATAATATAGCAAAATGCCCAAGAACAAAAAATTGTCTTGGTGGTTTCTCTTTCACTCTGGTGCCTTTTGCTATTTAAGAAAATTGATTTTAATATAACTGAGAAATTAACATTTGCAAAATGTAGCTACAGAGCATGTATAATAATAGCTTCTCCTGAATGCTGTAATGGATCAAAGTTTCAATTCATTTGAAATCAATGAAGAAATCCTCAGGCAGCTGGGTCTCTCTGAGTTATATTAGCAGCTGATCTTGCTGCTAACACAATCCATTAAAAAGTGATGGGTATGCAGACTCAGTCATGGCATTTTGGGGGGCAAAAAACCCTTATGTATTCAAATTAGTTATCAACGTTCAGAAAACTAACTTAGCTTTTGACATTGAATTGTTGGCTAGAAAATACATCAAGATTAGTGAAGTTTGATGATTCAATGAGGCAAAATAAATTCAAATTCTCCCTCCCTTACATTGCTTACCTAGAGAAAGCTTTAAGGTTAAAAAAGTTATACTGGCAATAACTGATTTTGATTAGAAAAATTAAAGACTGTATTTTGGAAACAGTCTGGCCCCCTTTCAGTAAATTAGTGTAAAATCTTCCTTTATCCCAAAGTTAATTCATAAATCTTCCTTCCTGCAATTTCATAATCTTTCAAACTTATTCTCCTCATTGCATATAGTAATTAGATTTTCCTATGCCAAAAGGGAAATTTACTTCTTATAGTGGAAATAAAATGCATGACTTGGTTGCAGTGGTCAAAGATGCAAGGTTGGGGCCAGGCCAGGACTAAGGTGAAACAGACGAAGGGAGGGAGAAACCTCAGAGGCACTTATTCAGGGGCAGGTCAAGTTGCCTCCATTGTGTCACACTGGTTCCCACCTTGGTTAGGGTTCTCTAAATTTACCAAAGAGCTATGAGAAGACCTCCTATGGGAACAAAGTGGCATCCCTGCTATGAGAGTACATTTCTTCCCTCTTCCTTTAGACTTCCAGCTGACTCAAGCCCCTAGACTATGTTAATAATCTTGTCTTAGTCCTAAATCAAAGGGAAAATACCCAGAAAGAAAATGGGTCAAGACATGTGGCTCCATGCCAGGAAGTGTGATACCTTGTTGTGCATGAAAAGGGACAGTATTGCTTTTCTTATATTGAGTATATGCCTATGCACATTATCTTCACCTAATTCCCAGGGAATAGTTAGAATACACAATGACAGAATTGAACTCAGAACAGATATATATCTAAGCGATGTCTTATATTGAAAAGCTGCAGTAGTATTACATTTATATTTGTATATGTTATATAATACTTACATATGTATATATTGCACAAGTATATTCCTCAGTACTTACAATAATGTTGGGAAAAATGTATTAGTTTTTTCAAATCACAGACACATGACAGAATATACAATTTAGACTCTATTAATAGTATCAAATGAGATTTCAATTTTATTGCCAGTTAAATTTCATGTGCTATGGGGTCATGTTCTAAAAACTGCTCTCCCTAAATTGACGAGGGCTTTCACTGGTTGAATAAATTTAATAGCAGGTTAAACTGAAGCACACTTATACTTTTGATAATTGAGTTAGCTTCATATTTATAAAATTTCTTCATAGTCATTACAAGAAAAAGTATTATATGGTTTAATTGCCACTAAACTTACATTTGTGGATCTATGAGGCATTCTGAGCAAGAGTTATAAAAAAGCACATTTCTCTTTATACAACTTCAATATCAATTCCAGATATCCTACTAACTGACATTTTATTTTCTGTAACAGGTACATTTAAGATGTATATTTTTTTTGAAATCACAACATAAAGATTTAATAGCATCAAAAATAGTTCTGATTTACTTTATGTGACTAATCTCTCAAACATTACTCTTTTTTTTGAGAAGACTAGGGATTTCCGGTATGTTGGTTAACTTGGCTAGGATCTAACAGTGACAGACAGTGACATCTCCTCCTAACTTAGCCATCTTCTGAAATAAAATGCCAACAAATACATTGATGAACTTTTGTACAGAGAGATGAAATGAAAAGAGAAAAGAGCCACCAGCTTTCACTATCTAAAAGGTGTCATTACGACGCCTGCATGGGTTTTGCTGCTATGGTTAACAGTCCCGATGCCCATTACAAACCTTCTGGGCTTAGAGCTCACCTGTAAAAATGTGTTCTGCAAAAGATACCTGGCAGGTCCAAAGAGAGAAGGGAAAGAAGGATGCCATACAAATGTGCAGAGAATTCCCCTTACTCGGTGATTTCCCAAGCCCTGAGAGGCAGAAAGACCTTGGGGAACAGGCTTTCCTCCAGTTCTGGATTTCCACATCCTCCCCTTCCCCCACACAAAGACCTTGCTTTACTCTAATTGATGTGAAGACTATTGTGACTTTTAGTGGGAGACACACATTAGGAGGTATATTTCTATGTTAAGAAATCATATTACATCAAATGTTATTATTTAAAAACTTATTATACCATCTACCATTATTAATTCATGCCAGAAACCAGCATATAAACCTTATCATATTAAACACATTAATATTTAAAAAGCTTCCAGACTACAACCAGGTTTCGTGCCAAGCAAATTGTGAGCATGTCTAGGAAATCATGCAGCACCCTTTATTTTGAAATTTTAAAATTTAAAGTTGGAAAACACTGCAGTATACAGTATTAAAGGAATAAAGATATTCCACAAAAGCTTCTAGTTAGACAAAAGAAAGATTTTTACCAACTCTTGTTTAAATATTTGCAAACTCTAAAAATGTCCCCTGGGAGAGATGCATGACTCTAATGCAGGCGTTATGACAGATTATATAAAAAGATAGATTTCTTAGTTCGGCAATGAAGAATCACTGTAATAAAAATACTTTCTCTCCTTACATCATTTTCTAAGCAGAAAGAAATACCTACTGATTTAATTGGTCAATACCACAAAATATTTCGAGGCATATAATAAATTTGAGGAAGTATATACATAAATCTCTTTAATTTCTAGTACAAAGCATTTAAAATAAACGTTCAAGTGGAAATAAATGTTGCTTTTTATTTTATTTATTTATGTATTTATGTATTTATGTATTTATTTATTTATTTATTGATCTATTGCTTTTGACAAATAACTAAGGGCAGATGAAAATTTTTGCTCAGTAAAGAAATATAAATATTAATTTTCTTTTTACATGTGAGTTTTATTTTTTATTTTTTTAATTAAGTTTATTGGGGTAACTTTGGTTAATACAATTATATAATTTTTCAGGTGTACATTATCATTTGACATCTGTATATTCTATTTTGTGTTTACCACCCACAGTCCAATTTCCTTCAGCCACCATATATTTGATCCCCTTTACCCACATTACCTTCCCCCTAAACCCTATATTTGACCCCCTTTACCCCACCTACCTCCCTCCTCCTCCCCCACCCCACTAGTAACTACTAGTCTATAGTCCTCTGGTAATCACTATCCTATAGTCCATATTCATGAGTCTATGTTTGTTTGTCCTGTTCATTTTTTGCTTTTAGGTTTATAGCCCACATATAAGTGATATCATCTGATTTTCAACTTTTTCTGTCTGGCTTATTTCACTTAGCATGATTATCTTGAGGTCCATCCATGTTGTTGTAAATGTTGCTTTTTAAAATGTAAAATTTTGATGTCAAGGCCAACTACCTAAAATACAGAGTCTATTATAATCAAGTCTGATAGATCTTAAAGAATAATTTTACTCATAAAGTGGTATAAATTAGTAGAGATTTAGAGTAAAAAGAAATGCTTCAGTAATTTATTATAATTCTAAATAATATTATACTTATCGAAAACAAAATTTTTCCTAAGAATGCAACATTAGCTAAAATGTTCAATGTTCTATTTATTTACTGGAAGAATTGAATATTATCTAATTATCGATTGGGTTAATTATGGCATAAATTCTGTAAATGTCAAACTTTGCTAAAAATTCTATTTACTAGACATTTCTAGAAGATATAAAATGAAAAATAAATGCTACTGGAAAGAAATACATACCTGATTTTTAAGTAATCAATGATAGCTTTGGCTTGTTTTATATCAAAGACATTCCATTTTTCATTTTTTTGTAATTGGGATGGTCCTATTTCAGCCATAACTTCTCCAAGCCATTTTAAGCTATCTTCTAAGGACATATGCAGTGCTAAAAAAAAGAAAAAAATCCAGAGAGACCTTAAGCATTGTTTTGATAGATGTTTTGGAAACAAAATAGTCCAAGATGTCCTTAATGTACAAAAATGTATTTTTTTCAGTATTTGTGAGGACAAATTTTAAAACTATTGTTGTTTCTTTATGATAAATTAATCATCACATTTTGTCTAAAATAGCTGCTGACACACCCAACAACTGTAAATTACTATAATGCTACATAATTGCCAAAAGTTTTTCATTTTAAGATACAAAAAAATTCAAAATCTATCTGACAATTACTTTAAAATGGAAAAGAAATATTTTTTATGATCTTAGAATTAAAGCACATATGGAAATGACACAAAAGTGGGTTGGATTAGCTGGTGAGGAAGGCCTACGTGGTAGCCTCAGTCACTGTAGACAGCAGAGCTGAACTCAGAGCTGAAAATATAAATGAACAGTCGACCAACACTTGGCTTTAGCTGATTGTTACCATGTGGGAATTTGGGCTTGAAGATTTTCAATAGATGCCAGAAATATGGATTTTCATGTAAAACATCAAGATTTTTTTTTCCCTTTCCAAGCTACAGACTTATAACTTATGTAAGCTGTTTCTCAAATGAATGTGCGGTGGTGGTGGTAAGAGCCAGATGACAGTGCAAAAAGAGTGACACGGACACCGCTTTGCCGCCATTACCAAAAACAAACAACTCAATGACTGCCGTCGATTCTTTTGCAATTAAAAACAACCAACCAACAAAACAACACTATCTTCTATGGCATTTGTTCAGCTGAAAAAGAAAAAAATGTCAAAAGCCTTAGACTTAACTTTTATAATGTCTATAATACAAATATTAACTTTCATCTTTTTTTTTTTCACGTTTGGTTACATTATGCTCATTTTTTTACTTGCGGCAGGCAAATATTATTTATCATCCACACACACTCAACTGCTTCTCGCGACCCAAGAATGAGTCCAGGGAACCAGTGTCCCTTATCCTTTGTTTGCTGACAAATGATGGGCGTATGGACATAGAACTGAAGAGCCTGAAGGTGGAGAGTTGAAAGGCTCTAGCAAAAAACGAGGTCAGACCAGCTGCGTGGGGGGAAGTAAATGTCAGCTGGGGGCCTGGATGAGGGCTCTGGGGAGAATTGTGCTGCTAACTGTAAATTCCGCCCTCCCAATCCTAACCCACCCTCTCTCTCTCTTAGGAAACCATCAATAAACTTTTCATTTCTTGCTAATGGAGGGGAGAAAGCAGAGGAGTTAAAAAAAGATGAAATATTTGTTGGACCTGGCGGTTTCTGGATTACATAGCTACTCTTCTCTCTGGGATATAAGTGCTATGCCCCCAAATTACTAATAAAATGCCAGCAATTTAAAATTTTAGGAAGATACTATAAACACTAATTTGTAATTTGCTTAGTCTAGATTCTTTTCTACTTATAGGCCTTAGAAAGAAGCGAAAAACTACATAACAATTAAAATCTGGTTTTATAAATGACAATTGGTTCAGTTCTCATAGCCACTCTCCAGATCTTTTAGGTATGTTAGATACACAAATTATTGCTGGATAACTTGGCTTTCCTATATCATTCTAAGTGGATCTCAATTATTATTGCATATTTCATTTTCCATGACAAACTTCTTTTGAAAATAGTGGGAGTAACTTCAGAAAAGAAAAATCTGTTGGATAAAAGCAATTCAGAAGTGAGCGAATTAATTAATGTGAATTATTTTGTTAACAAAATGGCATTAATTAGAGATGCAGAGAAAAAAGAAATTGATAATTGATTATAATTCTAGATGTAATTATACTTATCAAGCACAAAAATACAGTTTTAAGGCGATTTCTTTATGTCGAAATATAACTGACTCTTTAAAACTGTTTTTTGATTCTAATGCCTTTCGACAGATAATGGCTTTAAAAATTAAAAAAGTTATCATTTCACTTATCTATTTGCTTTTAAAAATTACGTTTAGTGATGTGATTAAAGTATGAAAGATTAAATCTTTTAAATAGTAAGGGCTCTTAGAAATAAAATTTGTCTGAAAATTTAGAATAATGAAAGAACACACTGCACTTCTAATTAGTTGGAAGACTTAAGATGGTACCTCATAACTTCCACTCACTAGCTAAGTGATCTGAGTTTCATTTTCTTTATCTGTAAGTGAAAATAATATCAATTTCAACATTATAATGCCATTGTGAGGATCAAGTAAGAAATGTCTAAAACTCTTGGCAAACTGACAAAATACGTGTACTAGTAAATTAACAGGTATATAGTGTTTTTTAGAATTCCACCCAAAGCCAGGTATGTTTAATGTAGTGGTCAGGATGGATTCTCGCTCAGCTGGGATTGCCCATTATGACCTTAAGATGTATTATTTAACCTCTCTGAATCTCATTTATTTTTCTCATTTTTAAAATGGGGAGAGTAATAGAACTACCTCATAAGGTTGTGTATGAATTAAATGAGACAGTATTTGGAAGGCAAATGACACTATGACAGGCACAAGTTAATCATACATAAATGTTACCTATTATTACTATCACTCCTATTTGAGGAAAAACAACTCAACTTTATGGGATTAAAAAGCATGCTATGGTTACTTACTAATATTCATGATCTACATAGGGGAATCAATCTAGGCCCGTGGACCATGGCCAAATATCCAGTCTATCTAACACTTTGCAGAATGTCCTTGGTCAGGCTCTAGCGAAAACCCCAAAATGTATATTGTTAAGACAACTTTATAAATCCTATGTTCCATAATCTTATTGCTGATCCAATTTGATTCCAGGTGAGTTGTCTGCAGAATGCCTTGTAGATAATCCAGCACCAGTTTGAGACAAGAAACAGATCAGAAACCGAGCCAGTATAAAATGCAGTTCCCACACTAGAATTTTATTAATGATGGTTGACCACTCTACAGCTAAAATCCCAGACTGTGCTCTTCAGCACTTTTTCTATTAAGATGTTGCTAGATGGGAATGCTCACTGTGTGCTCACGACTCTACCACCTCTTAGTCTAAGTAGAAACATGCTTTACCTCTTCTCTGGCACACTTGGCTAAGATTACATTCTTTCCTGATGATAACTGTAACCCTGCTAGGTTTAAAGGTTTGAAGGGACTTTTTTTTCCTGGCAGGAGGAAAAACTAGATCTCATGCTTTTTTTCTGGTTAGGTAATACATATGTCCTTCAACTCTCTCACAGTTCATGAGTAGCTAGATGGATCCTGCTCAAGTTTAAAAATTCAATTTTGAACTGGTATCAATAATATAAAGTTTCACATAAAAGAAATACTCTTGAGTCACTTACAATTTATGGAAAAAGTTTAAAATGGAAATATTTTGTCAAATTTGGAATGTAAGGTTCACGAAAATTTTTTACTTGCTATTATTCTGTTTCTAGTTTGTGAATACTCAGCTCAGAGATTGCGAAGTTTAGGACTGTTCGTGTCATACATTCTTTTATAGAATTGAATTTTTGCATAGGTGATATAGTCACAGGGTTCAAAAATCATATGTGAAAATACATTATGAAAAGATTTCCTTTCATCCCCATTGTCCACATTTCCAGTCTTCACACTCTTCCCTATAGAAAATTTTGATTAGTTTTTTCTGTGTTCTCCCAGCATTTCTTTGTACATGTAACACATAAAAGCATATATAAATTCTCATTTTTTCTTTTATAAACAAAAAACTATTCTGCACCTTGCTTTACTCAATAACAATATACAGTTTTCTATACAATACCTACAAAGCTTCCTCATTGTTTCCCTTTTATAGCTGCATAATATTCCACTTTTTAGGGCTAGGCTAACCCCTACTAATTAACTTTTAATTTCAGAGCAGTTTTAGATTTACAGAAAGTTGCACCAATATCACAGTTTCCTCATAAATAGTTTCCCCTATTGTTAACATTGCTACTGTACATTTGGCACAATAAATAAATTCTTTGGATTTCTTCGTTTTTATTAAAGTATTTTTTTCTGTTGCAGGATCCCATCCAGGCAACCACATTACATTTAGTCATCATGTCTCCTTAGACTGTACACTTTCTCAGTCTTTCCTTGTTTTTGATGGCTTTGACAGTTTTGAGAAGTATTAGTCAGGTATTTTGCACTATGTCCTTGAATTTGGGTTCATCTGATATTTTTGCCATGATTATACCGGAGTTAAGGGTTTTGAGGAGGAAGATCACAGTACCATTTTTATCGCATTGTATTGAGGGTATATGCTACCTGACATGGTTCATCACTAACGGTGTCAGCTTTAATCACCTGGCTGAGATAGTACTTGTTAGGCTTCTCAATGGTAGTTAGGTTTTCCCCTTTTCCATACTGTCCTCTTTCTAGGGAAGTTACTGTGCATCCCACACTTAAGGGGTGCGGAGTTGTGCTTCAAGTTCTTCAGTGTGAAGTATCTATATAAATTATTGTGAATTCTGTGTGAAAGATTTGTCTACTTTGTCCCTGTTCATTATTTATTCAATCATTAATTTATATCAGTATGGATTCATGAATGTTAATTTTATTCTTTGGATTATAATTCGATACTATATTATTTTGTTCCAATCGTTTTTCACTTTGGATATTGGGAGCTTTTTCAGTTGGCTTCTCTATTCCTTTGAAATATTCCCATCATTTTCTTACTTTTGGCCACTTTAAGTTGCCCTAGGCTCATCTTTTATGGTCTTTATTCCAGGTCTGCAATCAGCCATTTTTCTAGGGAGCCCAGGTCCCTTTAACTTAAGAATGAAATTATAAACCAAGGCCTGAACCCTGGGCATGCTCATTGCTGCTGAGATCTCTCTGTAGACAGAACTAATTAGTATATATGTGTACACTTAACAATATAACTATACAACTGTATCTATGTTAAGTTAAACATGACTTCACACTGGTGTCTCCAGTTGATGTTTCTAATTTTTCGCTTTTACAAACATTACTGCAACTGTGTCTTTACATATGTCAGGTTACATGTATTCAAGTGAATGTGTAGG